CCTCCTTTGACCTTTTCTAGGGCTTCATGAAGAGCATGTTTGTGTTTCTTCTCTAACCACTGCAATTCCACAGATTGTTTATGAGTTGCAGAACAAGAACAAGTGCGTGTGTATATATATATGACTCAATAATTTCGGAGAAGAAGTTAATTACTTTGGCAATATGTTCGATGATATGTTCGATGAAGATGGAAATAGCCAGCAGCACAAAGCAGACCACAGCGACGGCCCAAGTTGCTGTTTCCTGCAACCCCCTCTCATATTCCTCTGTCGCCATTTTTGGAGTGTCTGCAGCTCTGGTTTTTTTTTCCCCGGTTCCCACGCTCTCTGCTAAAAGCAAAAGGCAAGAGATACGGTGAAGAAGAAGGTTTAAGGCAAGCCTGGATTTTGAGCTTGAAACTGATGAAGAGAAGGGGGGGTTTGGGAGAGTGTCGTGCTATTTGGGTTTATACGAAGAAGGAGGACGAGAGGGAAGGACGGGAGTGGAGACCGACTCTGACAGTTCAAAAGCTTTGGTCAGTCAATACAAGACTCCCCTTTGGATCGTTGGTGATTTCGGAGCAAGTCTCCTGCCAAACAATACTGTCTCTCTAATAATGTGTTTGTGCGTGTGCACGCGTATTTTAAGGGAGAATATATATATATATATATAGTTCTTAAAGTATATATTTTGAATCAAAGTTTAGGTTCTTCTTAGCAAAAATACCTTCTACTTTTAAAACTTGAGTACATAAATTTTGTTAAAAATTGATTTTGAGACATAAAAACATGTTTACATACTATTACCTCCTGTACTTAATATAAGATTTTGTTTGACTTTTATTTTGATCCCAGATATAAGAATCCGATCTACTTGTCTCCCATATTCATCTATTTTTTTTCAAGATAAATCTTGTAATAATGATATTTCTAGCTAATACACTTAATCAGTAAGGATATTTTAAAAAAGTCAATAACTATTTATTATAAATAACTAACTTAACTAATTTTTTTAATTTATTAAAATTAGTTAACTAGCTCTTATATTAATGACCGGCAGTAGTAGATCAAAAAGTTAGTTAAAAATAATTAAAAACAATAAATGATTAATAGAAAAAATGTATTTGCTTATATTTTCTAAAAATAAGTACCTTTATTTATGTTGAGAGGAGGAGACTTAAAAATGTGTAAGAAAAAGAGATGCTTGAAGGATAAGTAATGCGGCCATAATGTAATTAATAGAGATGAAAATTAAAAAACAAAAAGTGGGTTAAAATTTGAGTGGCATCCATTCAATATATCTTCCCAATATATAGCAGAGGGAGGGTGTTATAAATTTTCATGGCGAAAATATTCAATAAAATTAGAAAGATGAAAAATTGAAAAAGGGTATTCATCTGGTCCTTAATATAAGACTCATTTAACTAATTTAATTAGATTAATGAAGTTAGGTAAGTTGGTTAATTATAAGAAATGTGACATGTTTTTCCTAAAATATCATAATCATCTTTCTTAATATCCCATCTTACTCTTCTACTTAATTATCGTTGAGAGAGTATTCATAGGGGTAGTTTAGAGAAAATTGATAAATATGAAAAATGGGTCTTATATTTAGAACCAAAACTAACTCAATAATTAGGTCTTATATTAAGAACCGAAGAAGTATTAATTTCTATCTCTCTCTCATTTTACGCTCAGGCATTTGATATTTGCATTGGAATGCAATGAGCCATTGGCCACAAGTCGGCTTCGCGTCAACTTGGGTTCTTTAGCCGAGTCAAGCCATGACTCCATGGCGTAACCGTCTTTTTCTTAACAAAGGTAATTTAATTACTCACTGGATAATTTCCTTAATCTTTTTTTGCCGACGATAATTTTCTTAATCACATTTATAATTTAATTACTAAACCATCACTTTACTAGAAATAACTAAATCACAATTAAAGAAAATCCTTAAATTTTCAATTCTCGGTTTAAATATTTATTTGTCCTGTTGACATGAGACAAGTTGTCATGAACAGGCGGAATGGCATTTATTGACTGAAACCGTTTTGTTTGGCTGTCTCTGAAATTATGCGAAAATTTTGGATTATTTGAAGATAACAAGGAATTCCCAGGAAGCCTCGAACCTCCGCACAAGTTGGGCAAGCAAACGAAGACGACCTCTTGCCGTAATTCATCCACATATGGTGGACAAAAAGTGTGCTTTGATTATTTCATAATTTGCTTGAGGAGTTGACCCATTCTAACCTTTTTAATTAATTTTTCTTGCTTTTATATTTCTTACTTCAATAGTTCCTTTAAACTTATTAGAATTTTCTGTCCCCCTCTCAATTTTCCTCACATTAAGAATTTGACTTTGTCAGCTTATATCGTAGAAAGTTACATTTTTTCAATAAATAGTGAAATCTATTAAATAAGAAAGATAGTTCAAAAAGTGTACAGTACTTTTTCAGTTCTTAATATAAGATTTATTTGATTAATTTTAATTAATTTGATTATATTAAGGAAGTTAGGTAAGTTGGTTAATTATAAGAAATATGACATGTTTTTCCTAAAACACCATAATTATCTTCTTTAATATTCTCTCTCCCTCTTCTACTTGATTATAGTTGAGGGAGATCCATAAGGATAATTTAGAAAAAAATTGATAAATATGATAGATAAGTCTTTTTTAGAATAAAAATCAACTCAATAATTAGATCATATATTAAGGACCAGGAGGGTATATTTTTTAATCAAACTCCACCGCCTTACCATGCTTGATGAATGACACAACAATTATTTTTCATGTTATGGGATAAATTAGCTAAATGATTAGCAAATATACAACACCTTACTTTTCAAACATAATTTGATCACAAGCTAAATGTTTGATCATGATAATAAAAAATCACTTAACATTTTTAATTACTTTCAATATTTAAATGTCAACCATATAGTAGAAGCAGAAAGAAAATCAAAATTTATTTGTGTTGAGTAGATTCAAGTTAACCTAATAACTCTTAAATTTTTGTATGTTCTTAAGAAATTAAATCCTTCATCATCATCATGAAAACCAAAATAACCATTGTCTCACCCCACATGCTTGGGGTGGCAAAAAGCAATATTTATTGGTTCAATACGGTCCATGAAGTGCAAGTTGCCGGGTCATGTTGATGATCATTTTCCCCCTCCAAGTTGGAACAGTTAATGCCTCTGGGCTTCTTCTTCTGAGTTTTTGATTTTGCCATATCAGTCGAAATTGTAGTCATTGTATCACTTTCCCTCTCTGAATTTTCTCTGGTCAGAATATGTATATACTCTTCCGGTCCTTAATATAAAATCCATTTAACTAATTTGATTAGATTAAGAAAGTTAGACAAGTTAGTTAATTATAAGAAAAGTGACACATTTTTCCTAAAATATCATAATCATCTTTTTTAATACCCCTTTCCCTCTTTCACTTTAGTATTGTTGAGAGAGTATCCATAAGAGTAATTTAAAAAAAATTTGATAAATATGATAAATGGGTTTTATATTTAGGACTAAAACCAACTCATAAATTGGGTCCTATATTAAAGATCAAAGGAGTATATAATTTTTCTATGCGTTACAAATTTTTTGAAAAATAAATTGCATTTCATAACTGTTAGATAATACAATTTTTTTTATCAAATTTATTATTATTTTTCTCAACAAAAGTAGTGTGTGTTATGTATATAAAAAAACTTTTTTTTAACCAGATGCGGTTGTAGGACACATATCTCAAATTGATGGATATGAGGAGTGAGGAGTTGAACATGATCATTTTTTAAATTCATTAAATTTTCATAATTTATATAATTGTATTTATAGCTGGTTATATATGTTGGATTTGAGCTAAGATTCAAGCTCCTTTCAATTAATACATGTATGAATAATGTGTATCCTTTTTATTTTTATGACTTTTCTCACTTGAATATACTGTTCCCTCAGTTGCGTACGCACACGGTATGATTGATCACCACTCAAATTTTTGCAAGTTGTCAAGGTTTAATTAATGCGACGGCATATAATAATAGCAGCAGCAACAATAATAATTGTCAATGGAATGTTAACGAAACGATGAAAACATTGGACACAAATTATAAATTAAGATGTTGAATTTAAACAAAAATAGTTAAGATACTAAATTGAGAATAACTAAACTAATTGTTGGAAAAAAAAAAGGATAACTAAATTAATTCAATGAGAAAAAAAGACAATTAAGCCAATTCTTTAAAAAAAAAAAAAAAAAAGGGATACTTGGTGGAATTGAGCAAAAGTTAGTTTGAAATTTAACTACCTGTGAAGGTATAACTGATAAGGATAAGCAGTAGTAAGTATCAATAATAATAAGAAAATAAAAGGGAAAAAAAAGTAAGCTGGACATTAAACTGATTGAGATAGTGGTTTAAATGCCAATAGGTCACATCAGGATTAAACCAGTTATATTAGAATAATATAATTTAATTAAAAATAACAAAATATATCAGTATTAATAATCACTAATAAAAAATACAAAAAAAATAACAATAGTTTCATTGTAACAATAACAAAATATAACTACATTGAGAATTTTGATTGTTATGATTTATCAATAGCTAAAATTAATAATCATTGATACCAAAATCATTATTAAAATTCATTCAAACTCGTAATGATTGAAATATTAAAGCTAAATAAGAAAAAATAGAACCAATAGTTACACAATCATCCAAATGTAATATGTGTTCCTTCTTTTCTCACACCCTACAAAATATCTGCACCTACACAGTACAATAATATTCTAAAAGGTCGTTAGGCTGTGTGGTCCATTTAAACCATGTCCAGTACAAGTTTTTCACAAGATGCAAACTTATCTCCCAGTTTTAAAAAGCATAGTATAAATTAGTCGCTTCATTCTTAAGCAGTTAAAATCATTGATTTGACTCTATCAAATAAAATTATGGATCTACATATAATTTATAAAAAAATTTGTCAACAATTCATGAGGCTAATATTTACTTTTATTTTATATAAAAAATAAAAGATGCTTTTCTGCTTAAAGCCTGACCAGCAAGCCTTGGGAGCCTGCGCCCAGGTTGAGTTACATGCATTCATATATCTGCTTTTCCTAAAAGGCATAAAAAAGAGTGCAATTATGACTCAACACCACATCATGCGAAGTCATTTTCTTGATTATTTTTTAAAAGAGCTAATTATTTCTTCATTTGTAATCAGATAATTAAATGAAATACAACATGCTCCTAGTGTAGTTTGTTTTTTCGTTTTAATTAGAGGACAAATACTAGTTATATGAAATTACAAGTAAGATTAAATTTGCAACCTTCCATTTTTAGGAAAATATTCATGTTATTAGACTAAGTGCTTATTGGCCACATGTATAGTTATACTACCTCCAATCCTAAATATAAGAACTAGCTGCCTAATTTGAGGAGATTAAGAAAATAAATTAAATTAGTTATTTATAATAAATAGATATTATCTTTCTTAAAATATCATTGTTAATCAAATGTATTAGTTAGAACTATTATTATTAAAAAAACTAATTTAGAAAAAATACACAAATATGAGAGAGAGACAAAGTGAATTATGATTTTATATTTAGAACCAAAATAAAAGTCAAGCAATGTCTTATATTAAAAACCAGAGGTAGCATATTCTAAACACTGATATGGAGAGATTAGTGCATGAAATAGGAAAGGAAGCGATAATTGTTTAGCTCAACTAATTAATTTTTGTTTACTCTGTTACTCTGTATTTAAATACTTGGGTAACAAACAAGTCTATACCTAAAGGGAAAACAAAAAAAGAAGAGATTTGAATTTATTACAAACTTGACGAGCACTCAAACACAATATACTCACCGAAGGCCCTCCTATCTCTATATTCATTCGAACAGGAAGAACAAACATGAAGAAGAAGAATGAAATCCATATATATATATATATATATATATATATATAGTGTACGTACCTGAATAGGAGTCATATCTCTCTGTATATAATCAAGGGGGGTCCAAGAAGCAAGCTTAGCACAAGTCCTTGAGCCCAAAATACAGCTCCTTATAGTGTTCCAATACCTCGGATCATTAATCCTATTCCTCAGCCACGGCGAGTAATCCTCCAGCCGGTACTCCCTATACGCCCTTCCCGGAACCTCCACGCCGCCGCCGCGGCTGGTGACGGCGAACCCGAACAGCGTCAGACCCATCAGCGTCCCGATCAGAAGCAGCATCACCACCAGGTACAGCCACAGAGCACAAGCGACGTGGAAACATGCTCCGATGAAACCCGCCAATGAAATCACCAGAACCACGAAACCTATGACCAGAAGTGGTGTCTGTAAGAAGTTCGCGCACGTTGTACTGCTCCGAGCCATCCATAATCCTGCTCCTATTATGGGGATCGAAGCTAGCAGAGTGAACAGGTTCAGGAACCCTATCACTGTGTTGCTGAATCGATACATGTTCTTCTGTTTCTCTCTAAGGCTGGCTAAGCGATGATGATGATGATGATGTTGTTTCGGGGTTTTGATCGTATATATGTGATCTGGGGTTCGAGAATTTCGAGTTTTCTTACATTGTCTAGTGTCTTTTGGTCGTGATCGGTATGCTTTCTTTTTGTCTGCATAATTATGTGGGCTGATCAGAAACTTTAGATAAAGCAAGCATGTGAAAACGACTAAGAATTTTTGTACCGGATCATTATATATTAAACAAGTGTATGTGATCCGGTCAAAAAAAAAAAAAAAAACAAGTGTATGTGATCAGAATGACCAAATTGCCATTGCAGCCATTTATATAATCCTCGGGTCCTAAATATAAAATTTAGTTTACTAATTTGATTAAATTAAAAAAACTAGTTAAATTAGTTATTTATAATAAATAAGTATTATTTTTTCTAAATCATCTTTATTAATCAAATATATTAGTTGGAATTATCATTACTATAATGACTGTGCTGAAAAAAATAAATAAATATGAAAGGTAAAATAAATTGAGGACTTATAATTAGAACTAAAATAAAAGTCAAACTAGCTCTTATATTAAAAATCAGAGATAGTATAATAATGACTATATATGAGTTTAATTTGTCCCCCATGATTAGAGGAATGTTTATTTTCGGAGGCCCCAAATCGCCTTATAATATATTACTCCTCCGGTCCTAATTATAAGACCCAATTGATTTATTTGAGGAGATTAAGGAAGTAAGTTAAGTTGATTATTTATAATAAATAAGTGTTGTCATTCCTAAAATATCCTTGCTAATTAAGTATATTGGCTAAAACTATCATTATTAGAAGGATTATCTTGGAAAAAAATGCATAAATATAAGAGACAAAATGGATTGGGTCTTATAATTAGGATCAAATAAAAAGTCAAATTGGGTCTTATAATAAGGACCGGAGGAGTAATATGTATCTACTTTGGCTGCACCCCAGAAGAAAACATAGATGTCCTTTTTATATGTATTTTAGCCCGGCTATAATAATCACTCTACATGGTTACATAAACATGCCCATAATCACTTCAATAATGAACAGCGAAATAATTGTAATATTTTATGTTTACCCAATTAGAATTGCGATCCATGTTATGCAAAATGTAACCGATAAAAGCCGTAATCATATGATGACAATTCCTATTCTGTCCAAAAAAAACTAATAACAATTACTAAAACTTCCGGTCTTTAATATAAAACTTTATTTGACTTTTGTTTTGGTTCTAAATATAAGACCCCAATTCATTTTAATTTGTTTCTCATATTTATGTATTTTTTTTCAAGATAATCCTTCTAACAATGATAGTTATAGCCAATACATTTAATTAACAAGGATATTTTAGGAAAAACAACACATATTTATTACAAAGACTAATTTGAGGAAATTAAGGAAAGAAGTTAAATTAGTTATTTGTAATAAATATGTGTTACTTTTCCTAAAATATCCTTGCTAATCAAATATATTCGCTATAACTATTATTGTTAGAATGCATAAATATAAGAGACAAAAAAGGTTGAGGTCTTATATTTAGGACCAAAACAAAAATCAAACAAGGTATTATATGAAGGACTAGAGGTAGTATATATACTCCTCCGGTCCTTAATATAGGACCCAATTGTTGAGTTGGTTTTGGTCCTAAATATAAGACCCATTTCTCATATTTATCAATTTTCTCTAAATTACCCCTATAGATACTCTCCCAACTATAACCAAATAAAAGAGAGAGATGAGGTATTAAAAAAGATGATTATGGTGTTTTAGGAAAAATGTGTCATATTTCTTATAATTAACTAACTTACCTAACTTTCTTAATCCAATCAAATTAGTTAAATGGGTCTTATATTAAGGACCGAAGGAGTATATATTTTGTTGATCCTAGAGCATTTACTGTCGGTCATAGCAACTAATCCCTCGCACTGTAAAATTTCCCATAAGAGTTTTAGTGCTAGCTACAAGACTCTCTCTATACACATTGTTAGGGATCAAACTCCTGACTATACTGAAGGAACCTAACTATACTGAAGGAACCCAACTAAGTATCAATTGTCCCAGGTCTTGTGGCTAACAATAACTCTTCTATCCTAAATATAAAGCCCATTTTGCAGTGTGATTTACATTACAAAATGAGTCTTATATTTAGGATAAGAGAAAGTACTATATATGCATATTAAGGTAGAGGTATTCTACTATAAGCAAATGACTCATATCTTTGAGAATTTTTTTTCAAAAAAAAAAAAAGATAAAAGAATATCTGAGATGTTTTTTTATTTTCATGAGTGCATTTTTTAATATTTATTCACTAAAGCAAGATGAGCCCTCTATATTACACGAAATTGACAAAAATGAATTACACTGTTTTTGATTTATAAATAATATAATTTGTTAGAGAAAGGCAAGCAACAAAGGGCATATAAAAGATATGATACTACATTTAATTCTTAATATAAGAACTAATTAGCTAATTTGAGCAAATTACAAAAATTAGTTAAATTAGTTATTTGTAATAAATAGACGTTATCTTCTCTAGAATATTCTTGCTAATAATATGTATTAGTTAAAATTGCTATTTGACAAAATATTTAATATGTGCAACTATTATAAGAATTACTTTGAACAAAAACAGATAAGCATGAGAGATAAAATGAATTGAAATTTTATATTTATAATCAAATTAAATATTAAATTAGCTCTTATATTAAAAATTAAAGAAAATATAATAGGGCCAAAGGTGCGTTGAGAATGAGCCTTGGCTACGAAGGAACTTTAGTAGTACAAGCAACTTCATGGCCTTTCTGGTAATTGCCGAAGATGATGCTTTAGGATGAATGATGGGCCCCTTGGAACTTAGTCAAGAAGCAAAGTTTTTATCGATATATATATTTATATATATTTTATATGGACCAGGATTGGCTATACACTTTGCGTGGGTATAGAATATATAGGATGTCATGGCTACTTTCTTATCTACTGATCTCATATATTCGTGTAGAGTTCTTTTCGGCTCCACTAAACCATAATTCCTATTTTAGAGTGCTTCTAAATATTCTACCACTCACCTCCTCATATTAACAGTACTTTATAAGAGCCTTACCCTGTTCTGTATTTGTATTCTTCTTCCATGGCATCTTTCTTTACTACACCATAACCATGTTGTTCAATCAACATGTCTCACTATACTACGTCCGGTCTTAGTTATAAGAGCCAATTGACTAATTTGAAGAGATTAAAAAAATAAGTTGTATTAGTTATTTATCCTAAATAGGTGTTGTCTTTTCTAAAATATCTTTGCTAATTAAGTGTATTAATTAGAACTATCATTGTTAGAAGGGCTATTTTGAAAAAAAAATTGTATAAATATGAAAGACAAAATGAATGAGAATCTTATATTTAAGACCAAAATAAAAGTCAAACAGAATTTTATATCAAGGACCAGAGGTAGTATTTAGCTTTTGAGATTTGAGATTGTGTTAAATATTCCATTCGGACTAGAATAATGCAGAAATTGCTAGCATCCTGTCATTGCTGCTTTGTTTCTGCTTTTTCAAGTTTCTACAAAGTTCCATAATACAAATATAACATTAAAAGATATAAATAAATAAGCAAATTAGTCAAAAGTACCTCTTTAGAAATTTTATCGGTCAAAGAGACCTGAATTTGAATAGATACAGCTCCTTTTTAATCATGTGCAATATATCTTCAACTATGTGGAAATGACTTTCATTTTAAAGACTTTTTTACATATAATTGCGGATAGGCTGCACACAACTAATGAAAAGTTGCACCTATTAAAGATGATCTATATCAGGTCCTTTTAACTAATAAATTTCTCAATTAGGTATTTTTAACCAAATTTTTCAAAATAAATTAACTTGTTCATCATAAATATATTAGATAAGAAATTTAATCTTTTCAAGTTTTGAAATAACAAACAAATACATCCTTATATTCTCAGGATCATCATTCTACATAATCTTTCTCAGAACTCTCACCCATATGCTAAAGTACTAGAAGCTTACAAGTGCAGATTCACGTCAATAATGTGCCAGCAGAACAGCAATCATACAAGATATAGCAGATGCCAGCAGAAAACCAGCAATCCCTCTTGGTACAATTAACAGCATAAAAGGACCTGCAAACTATTCATCCTTCTCTCACAAAGTCTAAACCCTTTGCACTCACAAATTAAATGTATATAGCACAATCAGAAAGAGATTAGAAAAATATGATGAATGAGAATTCAGATAAGAAATAAAGCTCTTACACAGTTTCTTCCTTTTTATTACTCTCTTTCTCAATGTATATCTGCATAACTAAAAAAAAAAAAATCAATTTCAAGCCCCCACTCCTCAACTGCATTGAAGGGGTCAGAGGCTCACAGAGAATGATCTTAGCATTACAAAGAATCAATTTCAGAGAACTACATGCCACATTTTGACACAGGAAAAGTACCTTCGGTAAGTAAAACTCCTTAACCTTCCAGGAAACTTATGAGAAATGCATTTACAGTGTTTCTTCCCGGTCCATGTATATGAATGATTTTGATGTTTTCACTGAACTAACAATTTGGTCCTTGAATTAGTGAGACTATTATAGTTTTAGTCTCCACAATTAGTGAATAAAGAGAAGTCAATACCTGAAAATAATAAACTCATTGGATAATTAGTCCTTTTGTCAAGCAGATCAAGAATGCCAAAAGGAGTAGCATAAAACAAGCTTGTTATTTTCAAGCATTAACTTAAATGTTCGCTAATTTTCAACAACTATAAACAAGCTTCATAATGCAGTAACCAAATTGTTGTTCCCGAATAATTGTTAATAGAGTACAATGGCGTTCTGTGATTCATGTAGCCGATCCTACTTAGTAGAATAAGGCTTATTATTGTTGTTGTTGTATACTTTGAAGGTTTATGATCAATAAACCTGACACAATTTGAGTTTAACTTGGCATGGGCTTGCTCTCCAAGAATGACCGGAAAAGAATGAATGCTTGGCGAGGTCGATGTAGTGGAACTTCATGTCCGGCTCCTGTTACTGTAACAAACGTAAGCCCTTCATAAACTTGGCTCCATCCACCAACCTTCACCCAAGAAGAAGAAATTTCAGCAGATAGTA